TAGCGAAGTAAAAGCTGTGCTCCAAGGTCAGTGTGTGCATGGAATGGAAATCATTCTAAACAGACCCATTTATCCCTCTGCTCAGCGTTTAACAGAATTGGAGCCTTCAGGATAATTTCTGCGCGGTGGAGCACAATTTGTCTTGAGTCCTGCTTCCTCCCTGTGGAAGTGTGGGCTCTGATGTTTCCCAATAAAAGTGAAGATGTTGGGTCGTTCATTCAGGTTCTAGCCTGTGTGAGAGGGCAGAGGAGCAGTTTTGAATAGGCTTTAGTAGATCGGAGTGCACGTTGCCCTGCGGTCAGGCGCACACAGAGATCCTGAGCAGGGAAGGGGTTAAGGGAGCGCACTGCTCTGATCAATTCTGCCCCTGGGCTGCTGTCAGGGTGAGAGCAACCTTTGCTCAGCTTTCTCTGCTGCTTGTGCTGGGCTTTGCAGGCAGAATTCATCACTCTGACGAGGTCAGGAGAGCGGGATATGGGGCGTGCTATTTGTGCCATCTCTCCTTTGTGAACAATATTTTTGCCGGTTGCAATGAGGCTGGCGTCTTCAAAAAATAATAAGTGTAAGTTTTAGGGTTGAAATCAATTTTGTTGTTCTCTATTAAAGAGATTATTTTCATGAAAATTGTCGGTTTCTGTATCACCTAGTTAGAAAATTTAGCAATACAAATTAGAGTTATGCTTGCATAAATAGAAAACCAGTCCTTGCTGAAAATGATCTGTGGTTTTTTCATTCATAAGGAAGAAAAATATGTTTTTACTTTCAAGTGTATATCTTAGTTTCCTAATCGGGGTTACTTGACAGCTAGTGAGTCAGAGGAACGAACACCTCTGCTCTGAGCGCTTGAGCGAGCAGGTCCTGCTGTTTCTAATACAGCGATTAAACTTGCAGGAGGAGTGCAGAGGGAATTCCAAGGACAGAAATTGTCCTTTAGCACTGTTAGGACTGTCCTGTGTGAGCTGTTCCTAGGAAGATTCACGACTCCATCTCATCCCTGGAATTTATTTCTGTGGAAGCACTAGATTCCCACCTATTTTCTCTGCTTTGTATCTGCTTTGGTAAGGGAGGAGTAAACGGACCATAAAGCAGCAACCGGGGTCTTGACGGAGGAGGATGCTGGAATTTTTTTGTGGGTCTTGTACATGTGAAGAAAAGAAATTTTGTGTGATGTTTATACTGTTATTAAAGCATGCCTGGCAGAGAGAGCGTGCTCCGTACAGGCTGTTAGGGTGACGGTCCATTTTTGGTTAAACTGAAAGAAGGGTAACTCCCTGCCCTAACCCAAGCCAGACACTGAAGAGGAGTGGCCTCAGAGGAGGATTTGGTAGCGGTTACAACAGTGCCGGTTAGGACTCACTAACACCTTGTTGGTTCGTCTCTCAGCCTTTAAAGGTGCTGCTCCTGCTCGTGAACTGGAGTTTGTCAGCTGGGAGGCATTTGCTGCTCTTGTGCTGGGAAGGTGAAACGGGGTCCCCCTTTGGGAAGGGACAGCAGTCCGTGCTAAATGCTGAAGAGTGTAATGATGATGTTGAACACTGCATGCAAAACGCAGAGCTTTTTGAAAACTGGGCTGTCCTGAGGTTTACCGGTGGAATCAGTTTGTAGGAGAGCTGGACGGTCTGGTGGCGGTAGGGGGTGGACGTCTCCATCAGCTGCGTCCTACTCTTGGCTCTGCTGTCCGTCTCTGAATGACGGATGAATCTTCCAGTTGAGTCAGGCTTGTCTGAATCAGTCCAGAGACAACTATCAGAGTTCTGTGAATAACGAGAAATTTGAGTAATTCACTCGGGCATCGAGGGAGGGGAGCGGCAGTTGATAAAGGTACTGTTGGAGAGCCCAGGGCTGCACGGGGAGTCCCGGCGGTGCTCCGGTTCTCCCTTCCCTGGGGCGCCGGGGTTTGGGGCGCCGGTTGCCAGGGCCACTAGATGTCATCACGCAGCCAGTGAAGCTGCTTGGTGGGCCCAAAATACCACATTCTGGGAAAAGCCAGTCTGGGACTTTTCTCTTTTGAATTTAGTACTAGCATTTTCTGTATTTTCCCACCAAAAAAAAAAAAAAAAGCCATACAGAGATTCCATGTGTGTTTTGGCAAACAAGTTTTCATATTCCTGTCCTAGTGTTCTTTCCATTGATTTTGTGCCAACGTCAGATCCCTTCGGGAAGTCTATTCGTACGTCTTTATCCTTCAATACGAGGAAAACTCTGTATGATTATTTGTAGACCAATGGGGTAATTAAAGCAACCTGTATTATCAGATTATTGCTAGAATAGATTTTGGGTTTTGTATTGTTTTTTCTAATTTCTCTCTTTGTTTTATAGCAGATCATATTTTATTGAGACAACTGTTATTACAGAATCTGAAATTCCTGTTCTGAAAACTTCTCTGTTCTGGCTGCCTTTGTGCAAATATTAACAACTTGCATTTGGTCTGTTTGGGTAGTCCATCCTGCCAGGGCTGGAGCAACTTCTGAGCTCAGAAGTCTATCCTTTTGTACAGGACACATTGCTAAAATGCTGAGCTTCGCACTCTGAGCCTTTTGCTGTGTGCCTGCCCCTCCTTCTGCTGGCCACGGAGCTGCCTTCCTCCCTCCAGCCTTCCTCGGAATTGCTCAGCTGCCCCTTGCTGGCTTTCGCGGTCCATTTGGGTCCAGGCCCACGTCCAAACATGTGTTTTGGCCTGGTCGCCTTCCTGAGGGACAGATCAGACCACTAAAGACTCTGCTTCGGGGAATTTGAGGTACTATAAGCTGCGTTATTATGATACTTCCTGAGAAAGAAATGTTGAGAAAAAGATAAATAAACCTTAAGTCTGGTGAAAAGGTAAACTGATGGGAAGTTTGAATTTTAGGAGTGTTGTCAGCTAGGGTGAACACACTGAAAAACACATTTTAGCTAGTGAATGTTGTGGAAAGATAAACAGACGTAACTGGTGGTTACAAATTGTAGAATGTGCTACTTTGCAAGAGGAGAAGCTCCCAAAAGCCATAGGAAATGCACTGAAAAGAGGAGGGGGATCAGTTGTGTCCTCTAGATAATGGTTCAGGTATTTTTTCCTTTTGGGGCTATATTGTCCTTTATTTTATGGGAAAACTAAAGTGATACGGTGCCAAATGATGGCATTTCTGGATCTGTTTGATGTTCTCTGAGCCATGCAGAATTTAGCTTGCTGTGGCATAGGATGCTGGGCTTTTGTGTGAAAGTGGTTGCTTAACAGCCGAAAGCATAATATGATAAGACTATGTGTTGACTTTGATTAGCTGCTTTAGTGGCAGGCTGCCTGTTTGAACACCTGGGGGAGTCTGAAGAAATAGATAATTTTTACATAACCAGAGGATAAATTCCTTGTTCAAAAAGGTGAAAAAACGTTAAAAAAAATAAATTGCTCTTTGGTAGAACACCCAGCTGCATCCTTTTGGGGATTCAAGTTTGCTTAGGTGTATTAGGAATAAAAGACGAGTGATTTGTTTGCTTTTGAACTCGATTGTAGAATATAACCATCTGTGATGTGACAGGTCCTCTGAGGCTGCAGTTTGTTACCTTTCTGTTGGGAACACCGCGTGTTTATCTGCAGTAGAGCGAGATGCTCTGCCTGCCGGTTGTTGGTGCTCGCGGCCGTGTTGAGCGGCGCTACGCTGTCAGACCGTTCTGGTGCTTCTGGGGGACACCCACCCCTTGCAAACAGCCGCTGCGAGGCAGGAGTGGGCAGGGCTGTGGGGAGGCAGTCTGGTGGCGTTCCATTAACGAGCTCCTGAGCTCCCCGTGAAGTTGAGCCTGCGCCAGCAGTAGCTCGACCGCTCTGTGTCTGTGTCGGCCGGGGGATTAACCTCCGTAAAAACTTCCAGTCCATATCTAGGCATGAGCAGACAGGAAAACATAGCTTTGCTGCCACACTTAATTGCACTTGTTTGCACTGCTGAAAGCCAGAGAGTCTTGGGACAGAGGTGAGCTGCCACTGACAGATGTGGGCAGTACGTCAGTAGTCCAGGAAAGTCAAACTCCAGATCAGGCTGGAAGATAACCACTGCAGAGCAGCTTGGTGCGGTTGCTCACCAGGAACTTATCTTAAACTGGTATAGTTGTGGGGTTACCTGGTGACTTACATGAACCTGTTTTCAAAAGATATGGATACAGACAGTTCTTGGTTGTCCTTGTTGGACATGAAAAATCTTTACCTTAAAAGACTGACAAGTTTTCTCAGTAGTTATCCGATACTGAAATGGCTTCAAAAAAATGTGAGGGCATGGCTGCATTTCAGACTTCTTGTGGGTCTTGTGTCTTCATGGAAGTGCTGTAAGAAATAATGTTAGAGCAGTGCGCGTTCTGTAGGTCCATCACCCGCAGTTGCCACCCCTCCAAACTATTTCAACTGTTATTTAGCCTTCCTGAGTTAAAAGCTTTGCAAGTTGAGGTCCCAGAGCTGTGCTGCTTCCACAGGCATGGTCAGCTCAGGGGCAGTGTGTCGTGTCATGATCAAAGCTGTAAAGCGGTGGCATTTAAATCAAGAGCGTGCGCTTGCTGAGCAATGGCAGTTGTAAAACCCCTGGTGTTTGAGAAGGCTGATGTGTGACAGATGGGGGGGAGGAGGAGGAGGAGGAGGAGGACTCTGGTGTTACTGACTTGTTTCTGCTCTTTTGGGGCCACACGCTCGTGTCTGAGGGTGACCAGGCATCGTGTGCAGTGGTAACCAGCAGCGCACGGGGCTTGTCCCCCAGAAGAGGGGCTGCCACCAAAACTGGGCTGTGGATGGCGGGGCGGAGGCACAGCGTGCCCTGCCGTGTAGAGCTTCTCAGACCCCTCCGCACCTCCAAAGCTCTCTCTGTGCCTGTCCCTCCCTCCGGTGTCACCCTGCTGCAGAAAGAAGCGAAGGGAAGGCCCTCCCTACCCCACTTGGGGACAGAGCATCTCCTAGAGGTGAACCTGCCTCCTTCATTCACTGCTGGACAGATGCTGCCTTTCCTTGAAGATTTTCCAGTTTTTGTAAGCTGCCCCAGTTTGCCAGAGCTTGTGGGTGGTAACATGGGGTTTTTTTGCAATTGCCTTTTTTTTTTTTTTTTTGGTGGGTGGGACTTAGGATGCAGCAGGCTGGGGCTTGGCAGGCGGTGGTGGGAGCATGGCAGCAGGTCGGGGAGAAAGCTGAGGAGCACCGGGGCAGCTGTGCAGGCCCCGTGCTCTTGGAGAGCTCGACAGATGAGCGGCGTGCAGGTTGCCAAGGGGTGATGGAGCAGTGAATTACAGGCGATTAGGTTAACGACTGCGTGTGTGCTTCTGCTGGATGATAGGAGCTTCATTGTGACCCTCAGGATGGGGAGGACTCTTGGCAAAGTAGCAGTGGGTAAGCGTGGGACGTGTGGTTTGTCCGTCGTTGGTGTTGGCTGGGAAGGCCTTTGCTCTGCCTGTGGTGATACAGGAGAAAAGTGAACCGCAGGGTATGTGGGCAGGCTAGACAGCTGCACGGCTGTGCCACCTCCCTGCCAAGGCTGCAGGCTCTGGCTTAATTTATCTTGGATTGAGCTGTATAAAGTACATGGTAAAGTACACAGGATTCTGCAAAAACCCCTGGGGCAGGAGTAGGAATAAAACATGTCTGTAAGATCTCACGCAATCGCTAGAGTAGGACAACTGTGACTTTGCAACTCTTTGTGTTACCTCAAAGCTGGAAGTACTAACGAGACAGACAGGAGAATGAGCCTGCTGTTGCTACTGTGTCCCTACTGACGTAAGACAAGTTTATTTCCTTGAAAAGAGACTTGTGTTTGACTTGTGTCGTGACATTTGCTAGCCCTGAGGAGGGCAGGGAATGCAGTGCCTGTGTAGGTGTGTGGTAAGTGTTCTGGGGGAGACTGAAGTGGGCTGTTCTTGAGGGCAGTTATGTTTGCATGAGAAGAGAATGGAGGGTTGTGCTCTTCGGCTGATAGTTGCCTGACACTAAACCTGGAGACCTGACAAGCGTGCAGTTGTCTCTTGGGGTTTGCTCAGCTGGGTGGGCAGTGGGCAGCTGTGCGAAGGAGACCCACAGTAAGGAGGGGCAGAGGGAATATGGCAGTGCCTTTGGCTAAGCTGTTTGGTTCCAGGAGCCTCTGTCACAGCTATGTGACGTGATGTTTGAAGCACTCCGACTTGAAAATGGCCATCTGCCGTCTTCAAGTAAGGGAGAAAGCTTTTTGCTCTTTACTGTGTTCCGTGTGATGTTTTGAGAGGCGTTTTATTCCATTTGCAAAATGGGATTTACTGTGTTTGAAAATCAAGAAGATGATTCTTAGATTCTGTAGAGCATGGTGAGGCGCAGCTGGCGTGCTCCTGCTCCTGGCTGGTGCGGGCTAGCCAATTCCCGAGTGCTGCATGCGAGCGAGGGGGAGAGGGGGGAAGGAAGGGAGGAAAAGCTCCATCTGGTTTTGGTCTGGTTTCTTCTCAAAGAAAAAGCTAATACTGTCCAATGTAGCTAACCGCATGTTGTCTTCTGGATGCTTCTAGACAGCAGCTGTTCCAGTTGGTCTTGGATACTCCGCTGATTTCATCTCCGTTGGCCTGTAGCAGGCGTTCAGCTGGCAAAGGCCATGTTAGGAGTCCTGTTTCTTGGCCAGTTGTAAAAGAAGAGGCGCCAGCGATTGACAGTTTCTTGAGTAAGGAAAAGGTTTGCACCTCAACAAAGGCAGATGGCCTGGCAGGAACAGATCAGAAGGTTCTCAGAACTGAGGAGGACCATAACCTTTACAGCACTTCTGCAGAGGTGGATGGTAAAGACAATGACGTGGGATCACAAAAGAGTCCTGAGTGCACCAAAAGCCATGAAGAGCCTTCTACATCTGTGGTAAAAGTAGTCAAGAAAGGTGAGATGCTCAGTTTTTGGCTTTGTCCTGTTCTCTTCCCCAAGGCCAGGGCTGTGGTGGCTGTATGCACTAGGGTACCTTCAGTACGTGGCATTCCTCTCGTTTCTCTGCCTTGGCACGTTCAGATGCTCCCGTCTAACTGGACTGTGCGTCGTTTGGATTGCTGCTGCTGTGGGACAGCGCTGCCTCAAGCGTGTTCATGATGAGGAAGCTTGGGCTGAGGCCAAGTAATGAAACGGAGTTCAACGCTTACGGATTCCTTTGCTTTGAGTAACAGCTCTAAAAAACAATAGTTGCACAACAGACTTACTCAGTGAAAAATGAAGTCATTTTCTCTTCCCCTTCCCCTTAATGACTAGGCAGACAATATCGACAGTCATTCTGCTCTCGTATCCTTAAGTAACCGGGAGCAAGGTATTTTATAGTGTGTTTGTTACTTGAGGGGCGCGCCCACAATCAAAGTGATCATGGCTTCAGGTTTGTTAATATTCCTGTTCATAGACTCTCCAGAAGTGCTTTACTCTTCTGTAATTCTACAGTGTTAACATTAATTTATTCTGAAGCATGAAAAGGCCCGTTTGTACGAATCAACTACAATAAGGTGACAGAATCCTCTTAGTTTTGACATGATGGGAGCCATCCTATTGACCCAATTAAAAGCCTAAATTGAAATAAAAGACCATGTAGGAGTGCAGCACTGATTCTTTTTAGTTGATATTTATCTGTCCTTTTCTTTAACAAGTCATTCAACAGGAACTCTGAAGTTCATATTTATTCATTAGCTGGGTCAATACTGCTTGAAGATGTAATACAGCCACGAAAGTAGCCACATGAAAATGGCATCAACTTACCCAGGAGCTGCATTTCCTGGTTTTATGCATCAGACTTGCTTGCGTTAGTAATTTAAAACGCGTATGAAACTTTACTGCTCGTTTATTCTTGAACCATTGAAATTTTCACTTGCTTACCATTTTATGGCCTTATTAAATCCTCGAGCATGCATTACACTGAAATTATTTCCTCAAATGCAAAGTAGCTGGTCAAACAATAGAAATGAAAGACTCGAAGTGAGGCAATGCTGAAGTGGTTTTAGTAAGTGTTGCCTGTTCCTGGTTTAGAATGGCAAGGTTAACTTCAAGTACAGTAACAGGCTGCTCAGGACTCTTGTGTCACGTCACTGGCTTTCACTAGAATGCGATGTCACGGGAGTCAGGAATTGCAGTGCAGTGTTACCAGATAACCCTCTCAATTCCCCCATTTCACAGCGTTTTTCATAGGTGGTTGGTTGTTTTGCCTTTGGATTCAAACCTGGCTTCCTCCATACTGACACAGAGGATGCCAGTTACAGAACCTCTTCCTCGTACCACTCATTTGAAGTTAGGCTTTTGGTTTTGATGTAACGGGATTGCTGAAGATGAGTATTTTAAGTCTGTGGTTTTTAACTGACTTTACAGGTAATGTTTATTGAAAATATGATGCAAGAAGAATTCTGGGTTGGGTGGGACCATGCTGTAGGGCGTCCCTGAGCCTCTGAGCCCAAGTCCCAGCATCCAGTTACCAGAAATGAGTATGAGGTGTGGTTGGGCATTGGATTCCTGTGAGGCCGAGTTAACTCGGGTATCGACAGTCCTGTTGAGAGCCATGGACTGGGGCCACGATGTTGATGTGAATAAAGCTTGTGCTAGTCTGTGTTATCAAAATGAAGCAGCTTCCTTTATTTAGGAGTGAAATTCTGCAAAAGTGAAAAACATTAGCATGGAAATATGCTTATGTTTATATTAGCCCCCAGGTTTCCATGTAGTGTGTATGTTATTCTAGATTTTTATTAGAGATTTCATTCCATCCGACTGCAGGGAAGATGAGATTACATAGAGAGGGAAATAAGTGTTCTGGGATGAAAATGAGAGCTAAAAATTAAGATTCTGGATAGACATGACCGATCTTTCAAAAAAACAAATCTGGAATTCCAAATTTTCGTTTTCTTCAGTCAACAGTTCGCTTTTCAGATGAAAATATTTGCTCCTTGCTGTAACACACGCAGGCTAGTGAATTCCTTCTCCCTTGCTTTCAGTGGGTTGTCCTGTTTGTGAGGTTGCTGTTCCAGAGCAATACATAAACAAACATCTGGATAGCTGCTTGACAAGAGAGCAGAAGAAGGACAGCCTCAGAAGGTAAGAAGCAGCCTTAAGAACTTTTATATGCATGTAGCCATCTTTCTGCACTGCTGAAATAGTTGATGGGTTATAATACAGCAGATTGTGGTGTTCCTTGGTTACCTGCTGAATAGATCACTCTCAAATCACTGTATAAATATGATAGTGGTGATTTTCCCCTCTCAAGAAGGTGTGTGGGTGGCCAGCAGAATTCCTTTTTGGCTTTTAGTGGCAGGAAAACACTGGACGATGTTTTAATAAATTCAACACAGGGAGTAAAACTTAGTCTGTATGTTACTCGCACCATGTTTCTGCTCAGAAGCGTTACCATTCTGTTCAGGTAACGCGTGTTCCCGTTTTTCACTTGGGGAATGACCTGCTTCCCTCAGTTCAGGTGGCCAGAAGACAATTGCTTCACTAGCTGTCAAGTTAAAAACCAAGAATTGCACCTTGCTCTGCTCGCGGTGGTTCTTCTCAAGTGGCCCCAGTCAAGGTTGTTCCTTTGAGACCTCCATCTCCCCAAGATTAATGCAGGCCTTTGGACTTTCTGCCTCCGCCCTAGGATATGTCACGGTCACCACAGTCACATCACGAGTGCGTAATTCCGTTTGCTTTACCTCTAGCATGAGTTTAGGTCGTTGTTATTTCTAACTGATCGCACTTAGGAACTGTGAGAGACCTTTGCTGCATGTGGTTTTACCGCATGGTCGTATTTCCAATGCCTCTGAACCTTGAATTCGAATGTAACTTTATGTTAAAGCTCTTACTTTGCCCAGTCGTGCTTGGGAAGCAATCTGTAAGCTAAAGGGCTTTGGAGATGAATAAATGGTAAATTAATACTGAAATGTGATGTTACATTTTAGTCTTTATTTGGGATGTTTTTAGTGTTTTCTTTGTTCTTAATGAATGGATATAAAAGCCAGCTTGCTCTTTGGTGTCAAGCCCATGTCCCTTACAGAATTTTAAATTTTGCTTATTTTATATGGACCGCTTGAGTCTTAAGAAAGTATCATGCACGGTGCTTCTCCTTAGGGACTGGCTGTTGAGTGTTAAATGCTGGTTTCCTGGCAATGTGTTTGTTTTATGGCAGTGGTGTCTGGGTTTCGGTAACAGCACATCTCTGGTGCTTCTCTGAGGAGTTTTAGCTCTGTTTATTCTCAGATTAGGAGCACATGGCGTGCTATGTTAACAGTTGAGCAGTATTTCAGCAGAACTGATAATTTAGCCCCCAAAACCTGCACGGGAGCAATTACACCAGGTAAGTGTAATCTCTACGGCAGTTTCCTGTGACTAAGATGTTCTCCCTAGCTATGCCAGGAACGTGGAGTTCTTCTGACACAAGGCAGTGTGAAGGAGTAAATTTTGGTTTTGGCTGTTCCTCACGTGAGAGCACTATTGATTCTCTTTAATGTCGCTTTCTGCATTACCAGACCACCCTTCTGTTAGATGGCAGCTACAGATTTGCTCTCAGGTACATGACTATCTTTAAAGTCGCTTTCCCAGAAAGCTGAAAAATCTCCTAATTCGAGGTTTGGCTTGCAGTTTTAGTGCTTTTCGAACTTCAGCTGATTCAGGCAGGACATGGCCAGTACTTGGGTGGAAACCCCATGTTTCGGCAATCCGAATTCAGTACCGTTCCTTCTGAATTCAAGGTGAAGGCAAGGCTCGATCCTGATGAAGGTGAACAATACTGTGCTTGCTGATGTGATTCTGAAGCCCTTGCTGTAGATACCAACATCGGAGCCGCAGTGCTTGTTACAGGAGTAGTGTTTGTGTCACTTCCTGAAGAAAATCAGCCGAGACCTGTCGCTTTCTGCACGTTTGAAAGAAGCTGCTGCTTCTGTGATACACTGTGGACTTGGTTATGTGTCTGTCAGGGCTGAAATGATTCTTTCGGGTATTTCTTACCCAGAGTGGGTGGCGTAGCATGTAAAAATGCAAGTCAGTATTTTGATTTTTCACAGGAGCTACAAAGTTTGTTTCCCTTTCCTTTTGCAGCTCTGCTCACAAAAGGAAGCCTATGCCTAAAGTTGTTTACAACTTGCTCTCTGACCGTGATTTGAAGAAGAAGCTAAAGGAACATGGTCTGTCTGCCCGTGGCACCCGACAACAGCTCATTAAGAGACACCAAGAGTTTGTGCACATGTATAACGCTCAGTGTGATTCTCTAAATCCCAAATCAGGTAAGTTAGAAATGCCAGGAAAGTTGTCAGCATCCCAAACTATTTGTATGCTTTTCTGCTTCTCTTAGTTCTCAGGGTAGGAATGAGACTGGTTTGAATATTTGGGAAAACTGGAGCTGGAAGAACTTATCTTCTATATATCAAGATTAATGCAGAAAAGGAAATTCAATGAAAGCTAGAAATGTGGTGCTATACTCTGGAAGTATCCAGCAAGGATGTAAATTTGTGTTGAAATACTTTCATACCTCCTGGTTGACTAACCCTGTTCTGAAAAATGTTCTGTGTTTTTATTGACTTTGCATTTTAATGAGTGCTTCCAAATTAGACTCCAAGGCTTTTAGTCAAAAAACTGGAAATACCTGAGGTTCTTAGTAAGTGAAAGGATTATTAATTTATCTTTTGTTCTGAATTTGTTCTCTTCTTCCTATACACTGAGACTTTTGTATTTTTGTTGGATTTAATTTCAAAATTGGATTTCTTTTTGGAGCTGATAGGTAAGGCTGGAATGAATTAATAAGAAAGTGTTAATGTTTTGCTGGAGTTAGTATCAATTTAGGTGTTTGGCAGTGATTTAATACAATTAGACTGTATGTAGCGTGAAGCAGCTGTATGGGAGGAGGAGAGTGTGTTTTAGTCTCTAAATGAGTGCAATATAAGCTTCCTTTAAATGGCAGGCTGTTGTTTGCTTGGAAATGCCAGGGCTGGAACAGGGAGGGTGAGATCCGAGCAGGGTGTTTGGGGTGCCTGGGTTTGTGGGCAGTGTGCCCATTTCTAATGCTGAATAGCATGTAGGAGCTGGAGGGTGAGTTGTCCCAGCTCATCTTGTTATATTCTACTTTATTCAAGATGAAAACATGGATCTCTTTTAAAGGTGAGCCATCTGTCATCTCTCAGTGCAGCTCTGCAAGTGATACACGTTACAGCACAAATACACTGGTGTGTGTGGGTGAGAGAGACACATCAGATTTATAGTTGTTATTTTTTTCATTTGATTAGAAGCTTATGGCAAACTGTCCTTTTAAAGGAGTTTCAAACAGGATCATGTTCTGACATTGCTCTCCTGGGAGCTGGGCAGCCGTTAGCGTCCTGGAAATTCTCATAGAGCTGGTATTGCCTGTTCTGCGCTGGCTTCGGGATTGAGCTTGCTGTCTGCTAGGTCTGCGGCCTCGGTCAGTCCTGCTGCTGGCCAGAGCTGGTCTCGGTTGTTCCGGAGGCAGAGAGATGAGAGGCGGTGTTCCTCACCCTCAGTTTGATCCCTTTAATTTTCGTGTTACTGAGAGGCTTCAGTCCTGAAGCCCAATTTCACTGTTTCTCCCAGAAGCTGTAAACAATTCTGAATGTGTGCATTGAAGGGCTCGGAAACTATTTGGACCAGATAAATTTTTGCTCTCGCTGGCAGCAGGGCTGTCGGGAGCTGAACGAGCGGGCAGGACAGTGAGCAGGGTGCTGGGGAGCCGCTTGTGCGCCGCGGGGTTCGGCGTCACCGCGGTCAGACAGCGTGGCACTGCGGGCGTGCGGCCGAGCTTCACGCCTGCTCCCTGGTGCTTGTCTAGAGCAGGGGTAGGTTGGGGCCGGGAGTGAGGAGTACCCTTTGACGAGGCTGCCAAACTTCAACACAGTAAAAAACCACGTAATTTGTCAGTCATCGTTTAACAAATTTGACAGTGTAGAGGAGGGTTTATTGTTATTTATTTCAAGAGCTCGTGTGTTAACTCCGTGCACGTGTGGTTCTTATGTGCGAGCAGACGGTCAGCAATGCTAAATATCCACAACTTCTACTGTGGCATTTCAAAAATAAAGTGTGTTTTTGATGTTCAGCTCCTTTATTAAACAGGCAGAAACACCAGATGTGGTGCTTTTTAAAAAATAAAGTCATTCGCTGAGGGCTTTAAATGTGAATTTAGCAGCCAAACTTCAGGCTCCGGCCCTTTGATATCTTGATTTCACTTGCCAGCTCTTGGCTTGGATTCTGGGAGCAGGTGTATGAGAACAGTGAGTTTGCAACCAACACTATTAGCTTTTTCATTTTGTTCCTTTAACCGTTGTAAGAACTGGACTAAGAAGGTTAAATGCCCGAGTGATTTAGGTGCCAGATGTCACTGCTTGGTTTGTGCCTGAGCAGGTCTGAAGATAAACATAAATGCTTTCAGAAATTGTGCTCTAGGACTTCAGAAAGTCTCTGGGATGAGAACCAGCACAGAGTTAAGATTGTGTTTGGCTTCATCAGTGACAGAAGTTTAGAAAGTTTGTTCTCTAAGTCTGTGAGAACGACACTTGCATCAGGATTTCAGTCCCGCTGATTTATGTTAATCCTGGAAATTGAATGAAATGCTCCCAACGCCCCTCTCCGGATTCCCCCCGCAGCAGCAGCAGACATAAAGCTCTGCGGGGTGTGGAGGGATGCTGTTGTCC